TGGAAGCACTGTCTGACGCGTCTGCCTCCGCGACCCGAAAGGAGAAGCTGCGATGGAAGATGAAGATGAATGAATCGCGGAAGCAGTCGTACATGAGAACAGCGGAATTTCTTCACTGTATGAATTCCTTATCAAGTTTGTCTTCAACCGGCTCAGCTGGAGTCTCAGTTTTCGCTTCAGCTGCGCAAATATCAGCAGAAATAATGAACGAAGTCTTTCATCGCTATCGCTTGGTAAGAAAAGACTACAGACTGAGTCCATGAGGCAGTTCGTCAGAAATCTTGAGCAACACCTACGTTTCAGCATCAACCTTCCTTCGCGGTAGCGTTCAGAACAATTTTACAGAATATGATCCATTATTGCACTGAAAAGCAGAGGCAAAGGCACGTCACACTGTCAAATGTTTTTGTTGCATGTGATCCCATACCACACTGAAACCTACTCCTTAACTTTCAAACCCGCAAATATGTAATCGTGCGAGTTCTCCGCTATGAGAAGCTGTGCGCTGCAGGTCAGGTAGTGAACTGAATCAAACGCGGCACTGAACTCTATGAAAGTAGTGTACCAGTGAAAATGGAACAAACTGTATTATAGAAGCTCCAACATGATGCGAAGATAACGTCGGTGCGTCATTTCGAACGCTGTCTGGTTTGTTCCTTGTCCTTTCAACCGTTTGCCATGGCCATTCAACACTCAACTATTCATCTGTGTCATCCTAGCTGCAGAAAGCGGACAACGACTAAAGTACAGGATTGCATAATAGAGAGAAATATGGTAGTGTCGACTCCTGAGCCGTTCCGGTAGACCGGGACAGGCATATCTGCCTAGAAGGATATACAGATTAGAAAACGAGAAAAAAAACTGGGACCCACTGTTCGCTTAAATCTGTAAGGAAAGTATAGATAAAAGATTATTTCACCATATCCTCTATGAACGAAATGTGACGGCTGTTTGTCAAAAAATTGAAGAAACAGACAATGCTTGCTGATCGATACCTTGGAATAAAACGAAAATTACTTGGATATTCGAAACCTGAGAAATTCAACCTAGCAATGTTTTTAAAGCTTGTTCATCATGTCCAAATCTCTCTGAATAGAGGAAAAAAATTATCATTTGTCATTTTCTTTGCTGTAACTGAATCAGGATGGTAATCGAAATGACCCCATGAGAGTTTGCTCAACCGGTAGCACGTGCAGAGTACATGCAAAATTAAATCTCACCCAGTTCGAGCCAGTCATGTCTACATCAGGCCGGACGTCAAAACTTTTCATAAGTTTGAACAGATTATTAATGAGGGCTGCTTCTGGGTTTGCAGTCATCTTTCGAACAATAGCGCATGCGATCGAAATAAACCACTTCATCTTGCGTTGTTTGACTTCGTTGACAATTATCTGGTTGTCGCAAAGAAAATCGTTTTCGAAACATTTCTGCAACAGTTGGTAAAGGATTAATTGAATGAACTTTACTTGTTTACCTCAAGTCCATTCAACGCTTCTTTCAGGTCACCGCTTTCCACGTTGCGGACAACCTGTTCCATTAACTTCTTCATCGTGAGTCGTCGAAAGTTCCGTGCTTAATTCAGCAACATGCAGTTCGTGAATCTCACTTCATTCAGCAGTCAAGAAACCTGCTTGAGAAGTATTTAAAACAAAGCATTTGAATCACACATCTAGTACTTTGCTTGTGCACTGATAATTATATAATGCAACGTACAGAGCATTAATCCGATAAACCGTTGCACTGCGTTGTGTTCAGTAAACGGTGAGTTATTATATCTTCTGTATTCTGGATTCTAAGAAAAAAAAAACAAAAACAAACTGCAAAACTGAACGGTAAATTTTTGAAAGCTTAATTAGGAAGTCAATCAGACCAGCTTTTCTAATCAGATACATTTACGGCCGTACCTGAAAAGTTCATATTTAATCATAACCGTTGTACATAACACATCGTACTGACAAGGCGCTAGCTGGTGCAATGAATAACAAGAATAGTTACCTTATTCAGGTTCACTACATTCCTTACTTTATTTCCATTGACTCAAATGCGTAAAAATTGACCAGCTGGCGATGCCACAGAAATTGCTGGTTTTCTCAGTTTTTATGGCCGCCGAAACTGGGTAACTTTTAAGTTGTCATGCACTCTACAAAATTCAACATCGGCGCGTCTCTCGCAGAGTGAACAACCACTAATGTCGGTCGACTAATGAGGCAGTGACAACTATGTTCGACAAATCTTTACGCTTTCTGAGACAGTTCTGTCTAAGCGAAGAACATAGCTACGTACTCAGATGGAAAGATAAGGGGAAGGAGGCATCTTTCCTGTCAAATTCCGAAGAAACATGATGTTTTACGCTCTAAGGTTTACATTCCGAAAGGGATTATGAATTTATGACCATTCGTAAAAAGAACGTCAGAACCGGAAGATGTACGGTGAATGTCTAAGCATGAAAAGAACTGATGTTTTTGCGACAGCTGGACAGTCAAGATCTGTAAATCCGGCATAATGAACTTATCGCCCTAGACATCGAACGCCATTTCTCTCAACGCAAGACGACCTATCACTGCCACGTTGTCATGAACTTAGCACTTGACGATAACTTCTGCACTTTAATGCCAAGACGCCGAATGGCTTAAAACGGCAAGCATATCAGTAGCATTTGCTTCCAAAACTCGCTAGAATGGTGAATGGTATTGCTCTAACCACTAAAATGATGCGAAATGCGAAGATACACCAAAGTGCTATAG